TTTTTTTTTTTCGTCTATAACCTGCCCCTGAATATAAGCCGCAGCCATAACTTTAACTCTAGTGAAAGAAAAAAAAATGCATATAATCTCGGCATATAACATGCACTCTCACATTTAAAGCAAGTATTTTCTCTCTCACATGAGAGTAAATACGGTAAATATACTTACTCAAACACGCAACGCATCAAGTACAACGCAATGAGGCAGATGTGGTGTAGAACAGTACAAATACTTGGTTTTGGGTGCGGCATCCGTTAGGGATATACGAATGCACATTATTACGATGGAGGCTAAATACTGAAGTCCCGTGTACTATGTGATGTCGGTGCACGTTAAAGAACACAAGATGGTCGAAGTTTCTGGAGCCATTCACTATACGGCGTGCCTCATGACCAAATATTCGGCCCGTAAAACCTCATATACCTTTACCAACGCACATTAAGCTTTTTATTAGGCGCAACGCACACATTTGTCGGTCTTTTGCACTGCAAACATGAATTTCACGGCTCGCGAGGTGCACTTGGCTCACGTCACGTGTCGTATAAAGCGGCAGTGTTCGCCATATCAACAATGCGACGTTGACACAACTTAGAAGTGTGGCAGCTTGGGCTAGTTGGTATGGCATGACGATAGTTACAGCGCGAGAACAAAACGACGACACAGAGACAAGAAGGACACGAAGGACACGAGCGCTAGTGTCCTTCCTGTCCTTCTTGTCTCTGTGTCGTCATTTCGTTCTCGCGCCATAACTATCGTTGACACAACTACATATTTCACGTGGTTTGCACGAGTGTCCTACGATGTAGTACAAGATTGTGCCTCGTTGTTGATTTTGCAAACGATGAAAAACGGTGTGCGAGTCGAGAAATAATTAGACGTAACGAGAAACGTACACACGTCTCGAATCCTCTGGCGAACGCGCAAATCACCTCAACAGCATCGCTTCTCGATAAGGGCATTGATACGCTGCACTACAGCACACGGTCCACTACAGCAGCTGACCTCCCCCCCCCCCCCCTCCTTTTTTTTTTCTAAGAATCCAAGAACCGAATAGCTTCAAGACGATAGGGCCGAATTGCCGCCAGCACACGGTTCTGGAAACCGCTCTAGTGAATTTTTAGGCTGCGCCTACGTGTGCAGTCTATGGAATTTTGTTTATCTTTCTGTGGTAAATCTTGCTCGCGGGAGTATACAGTTACAGCTGCTGTGCGGCTGCACGTGTCTCGATCGTAATCGGCCAGCGTGAGTATATATACGGTTTCGCGTACAGGCGTAGCGCCGGCGGCAAGTTGATTAAACAGCTCTCCTTGCCGCCCCCAGCCGTGCCCTAAATAATTCAGCGTCGCATTTGGCTAAGTGAGCAGCGCGCAACGTAATGGAAGCGTGACGTATCTTCATTTTGGTTCGCGGCGGGCCGTCGCGCTCTCAAGGGGTTCCGAACAGTGTTGTTTCGCTCTAACAGAGGGCGCCTCTGGAGAGCTCACGTGAGGGACGCTGTTCTGTTTTCCGGCACCGAGAACCAAAGAGCCTCGCTGCTTGCTGCCGCGCTTGGCGGTTTCACGTTGCGTGGTCGACTGCGTCTGAACGAGTCGAAGGGCAATATTTGTAGGGCGGAACGTATACAGCCCAGGTCAGTTGAGGGGCGCGAGAGATCGCAGGCACGTGATAACCGAGTTTCTGAAAAAAAAAAAAAGAAGAAAAGAGGGCGGGGTCCTCTTTTTGTTTTTTATTTACCTCATTTATGTCTCACACGCTATCTCTCCTTTATTGCTTCCTTCCTTTCCACTGCCTTTACAATCTAACTCTCCTTTTTATGAAGGAAAGTGTACATTTAAGGGCTCGTTTTCGCCGTTAGGGAGGATAATAATGAGAACTAACAGACAATAGTCACACAGGGAAAGTACAGGAGTTTTTCTGAGAAGTAATTTGTAATGCAAATCGGGAAAACTGTAGATCGAGAAAACTAACCACGCGTCTTCCTTCCATCCAAGTCTAAGAGCGATCTATGTGCGCTAAATGAGGCATTTACGCAAGAAGCTGCGGATTATCGCATAAATGTCTCGGTTATGCACAGCACTTTAAGACAAGGTGAGCTGAAGCAACTAGCGCCTTGTGTTCTTGCACATGTTCTTTAATTATAGACTCCTTTCAAGAAAGCGTTTTCACTCTTATTATATTTTTTTATTTTATGATAATAAGGACACCGTATAATTCGTATTCTATACCCAAATTGTACTGTTCGCACACTGCATAGTTAAATCTAGGGCATTTTCCCATGTAGAACACTCATGCATGTCAGGCTCATATTTCTTCGTGGACAATGGGGGAGATGTTCTTGAAGCGGGTGCACATCTTATTCCTCTTATACACTCACCTGCGGCGCGCACGCCGATATCTGTTATTACAGATGTGCGCGGCACTGAAGTGTTTCTATTAGCGACACGCTTCTGATGGACACGATCTGATTTCGGGAGTGGAAAGAAAGAAAACTACATTCATTGTTATTACTTCAAGTGGTATGGCCGTCAGGCTTGTGTGAGACGTGGCGTCTCACGCCAGGTGTCTATAGGCAGAAATTTTCTTCCTCCTATACACCAGGCAGCCAAGGTGGTATACACCACTTTCTCACGCGGATGTGCAGCCTCTGGCGCAGAAATATGGGGTGGTATGGTTACCAACTCTTCAATGAAGTGAGTCGGAACTGAAGAGGGGGGGGGGGGGTTGCATGTACTGACATAGGCATCCAGTGAAATCAGTTTTCTTTTTGCGGAATCTTCCAGACAAATTCGTTCTTTCTTTATTGCTGCGGCCTCTTGAAGTGGTACTTTAGCTGGCGAGCAAATGTTGGCAAGACTTCATCTTTCTGGAGAATGTACTCGTAACAGTGTCGCTCTACGCGCGGAAGTTAGGGTAAAGTGGCTAAAATCTCTCGCAGCCACCGCAGCATTGATTCAAGCGTACGATTCGCTTGAACCATGACTTGATGCGTGAGCGGACGCTGGATCACTTAAATATATGCAACTGCACGGTTCGAAACGAATCCGGGACATATAGAGATGTCCCGGGAGGCACGCCGTGGGATTCGGGATGCTCTACGGAAAGTCGGGACGGTCCCGCGAAATCCGGGACGGTTGCCAACCCTAGGTCATGGCCCCAGCTGATTGTGCTGGCGTGTGTGAACATATATGCCAGCGAAGAAGGGTGCAATGGAAGTGGAACAGCCTCATCAGTCACTGTCAGTGATGACGTCGGTGTATGCAGTCGCGGAACATTCTGTTTCATCGTATACAGCAGACATGCACCAAAATGGCACGAAGTAACATTTTGTCGCCGCGCGAGCTACGCGGAATAATAGTTGACCCCGCTGAGACGTTTCATGTATGCACTGCTCGAACACTTCGACCGCCTCCCAATGAACTGTAAACGCCAACGTTCGACTTGCGCCTATATATAAAATGCTTCAAATATCCGTCATTTGTTTTTTCATTTTGTTAAAGTTACCGCGTTCGTCCGAAGTTGAGGTTCGCTAGCGAAAGCTTAGCTGCGTACTACAAGCTTCCAAGAGGTGGCGGCATTGCGCGTGACACAAAGATCGATAGGCCCAAAAGAGCCCTTCGTGCCTGAGGACACGCTCTTGCGCCTGTTTCACGCCGCGCAGGATGCGCAGCGACCCTGTTAAAGCGCATTAAGAGCTCGGGGCTCTTCCAAGGAGCGATGCGTGTATAAACACATGGTAGACGGATGACATGGGGGCGGCTGTAAACGTATGCATCCATTCTATACCTTCCGGAGAGTGGAGAAAGAAAGAAAGAAAGAAAAAAAAGAAAGAAGGAAAGAGAAAGAAAGAAAGAAAGAAAGAAAGAAAAGAAAAGAAAGAAAGAAAGAAAGAAAGAAAGAAAGAAAGAAAGAAAGAAAGAAAGAAAGAAAGAAAGAAGGCGCACAGTCACCTCGAAAAGGTACAGCATGACACGAAAGTGTTGGTATAGAATAAATTTCAGAGTGTAATTTCCTGTCTTGCTGGCACTTGGCACCGATTTTGAAATCGTTTCCCAGAAAGACGGCTAAAGAGAGTTCTCTCGCTTATTTAGTCCGGTCACGGCACGACTGTTATGAAACACAGCCAGGGGGAGAAAAAACCGGCAAACATGAACGAGCGTTCGCCTTCGATATTTGCCTGCCTCACTTTTATGAATTTAAAAATAAGAGACGATCGCGAAAGCGGTGGCGATCACACTGGGGCGCGTCGTCGCTATGCGGTGCGCAATGGCGACGATAGGCCTCAACGTGCGTTGCCTTCGATAAGATACGGGTAGCCTCGCGAGGAGTCGTGCAAAGTCGCAGAAACACCTTATTCGCTGCATTGTAAACGAGGTTCACGAATGCGCCTTGACTGATCGATTAAAGAAGCACAAAATACTGAACGTGACGTTCGTGCCGCAGGTACGAACCTTACGTTCCACATATGTGGAAGGACACGTCGTGTAGGTAAACCTCCTAAGTGTGCGGACCGTGGGCTCGTGATGAAAACATCAGGTAAGGCACTCTGTATAGGCCATCCACTCTTCTATATTGGGAGTGCATACGCGTGATTCCCCTTCTAACGGCCGCGTGACATCGTAATGGGCGAGAAGGCTAGCATTGCGGTCGGGCGTGGCCGACGAACGTGTCCGCTAGAGCCCTGTCAACAAGCGCGACCGCTCGCGTGCAAGAAATAAAGAGCAGAAGTGGCGCGCTGGCTGTTTGTCGAAGCCCTACCACATCGAACGCTACGGGACATCGCCGATGGGAAAGATTGAGCCACGGATGCTTAGCGCCGTGTAAATACATTAGGCACCCAAACTGAGCGGGCAGAGTGGCCTCGAGCGCGGTCCTTGCGATGGAAGCGCATCGGCCATGCTTTATCCGCTCAGCTATTTCAACCTCTTCAGAACGGCCATGATTATAGCTGCAAACACGCTCATACTCGCCGCGCGAGGGAATGGCAACCTCTGTATACTTACACTTAGGCGTATTTCTTTCGCAGAAAGCTCCTTACGGGACTGTTGTGCCGCAGCGTCGGCTTCTAGCAGCTTGTGGGCTGTCTGCAGCGGCGCCAGCGGGACTTCGACGTAGGAAACGGTCAGGGTCCGTAGTTCAGCTCGCTTCCGAGGCGGCGATAAGGCGAGGTCTCAACGGTTCTCTCCGCGTGTACACAATGCCCCTCGCCTGCCCATCTTTTTCTTTCCTTCTTTTTGTCCATCAGTACGTGTATGTTGGCCTCATAGAGAAAAAAAAAAGAAAGTAGCGCGGGAGGCGCGCCGGCGTTGTTCGCGGTGTGTGCATATACCTTATCAGACATCGTCGCGCCGTGGTATTTTGTGTTAAACAGAGGCAGCGACAGGCAGCAACAGGCAGCACCTTGAAGGGGCATTAAAGAGCAAAACGGTGTTTAGCGTATTAGTAAAGTACGATTTCACAATCCCGAAAACATCACTCTTACCGCGACACAACACTTAGTAATGAAAACGCACGAAAAGAAAATGCAGATGGCGACACCACCTTGAGACTCCCACACCGAAAAACGTGACGTGAGAAACTTTGAAGTTGCCTATACTGGATCCCACATAACTTTCAATCGATAAGAACGAAGTACATTGTCATCTCTGGGTTCCATAGACTTAGCATGCGAAGTTTCAGAAAATGTCATCGCGCCAACTTGCCACGATAATACCAAAAATACATTTTCAAACTTCTAACGCCACGCGTGGAGATTTTCGCGTGAAATTTGAAGTTTGAAAGCTCATTGATTCCACCTTGTGTTTGGCGCTGCTTGGCCTAAGTGGCCCTTGTGCCAGTCCACCCAATATAATAACTTATTGGTTCAAAGTACAATATATATATATATATATATATATATATATATATATATATATATATATATATATATATATATATATATATATATATATATATATATTCTCCCATTTATCCCCCCCCCCCACGCGTGAGCGGCCAGCCCGGACGCGTCTTAGACGGAAACGGAACTTCGAACTAATGGCTTCAGACGCGATACTTTGAACCACGACAGCGACGATCCGAAGAAAGGTCGGTGGGAGTGACACGATAGTTCACTGGTGACGTTTGTTCATTGATTGCATAGGGTCCAATGAAGCGTGACTGAAACTTGTCGCACAATCCTGGAGTACGAATGGGCGTCCAAAGCAACACTTCATCCCCCGGACTGAAGGAGACGTCGCGATGAGAGCTGTCGCAGCGTTGCTTGCGATCTTGCTGATTGGCTTCTGTATTAAGGCGAGCCCGTTGCCGGCATTATTCGAGTCTTGTGATGAACTGCTCTGATGCGGTTGCCGAGGCGTCAGTTGGAACATTTAAGATAGAGACGTCGATGGTGAATGTCGGTGAACGGCCGTACACGAGGTAGAAAGGCGAGTAGCCAGTAGTTCTTTGAACAGCACTGTTAGGGGCAAACGTCACAAAAAGCAAAGTTGTATCCCAGTTGTCGTGGTTTGGTGCGATGTACATCGATAGCATGTCCGTTAGTATCCGGTGAAATCTCTCTGTCAGCCCATTTGTTTGGGGGTGGTAGGCTGACGTCGTCTTATGTACTGGCAGTTTGTTGCCATAGTTTGTAAACAGGCAGTTTGTTACCATAATTCGTCGTGACTTTCGGTAGCAACAAATTGTTGGGCATCGCAAACCTGGTGTTATTCTTGTTAATTAATTGATGAATTGGAAGGGCATCAACAGAAACTTGGTGGTTCATGACTTCATGTAGCAACACCATTAGGCTAGCTTTGTATGTAAACAACAGGTGGTGCATTCAATTTTACAAATAGCGGCTTGCACAATGAACGATGAGAACGTGATAACTTTCAGCGCTTGCTTCTGGGTGCTAACTAAACGAGACATGTGGGTGTAATAAGTATTTCCCCAAGTGGTAACACATTTGATGTGTGTGTGAATGAAGGCACAATGAAAGTGAGAAAAGTGTGCTACTACTGAAGCTTGAACGCGTTTTAAATAATGTCCTTGTGCCGAAGAAGCCAATTTTTTCAACTACCGAATCGACATGGGTATCTAACTTTAGATTGGAATCTTCAATGACACCCAGGAACTTCGCAGAACTTATTTGTTTAATTTCAACATTCCTTATTCGTATGTGTAAGGGAGATGTCACTATAATTTATCAGGAGAATGGAAAACTACAAACTGAGACTTTACAGGGTTTATACTTACACAATTCTCAAGACTTTATACTTATATAATTTTCAAGCTTCTGTAGTGTGTTGTTTAATTTATGTAAAAGCTCAGTGGCGTTAGACGCAGAAGCTAAGATCGTCGTATTGTCGGCGTACAGAAAACACTTGGCACTAGATAAGTAAGTCCGCAGATCGTTAATAAATATCAAAAATAAGAGCTGACCGAGAATTGAACCTAGGGGTACACCTTTGGTGATGAACGTATACGTTTAGAAAAGGCGCCATTGATAAAGACACTTTGATATCTGTTTGAAGGTATAATATTTTAGAAGTCCCAAGAAAGAACCAGTAGTACCGTAACTTTCTAACTTAGAAAAGAAAACTTCATGGTTAATATTTTCAAAGACTTTTTTCAAATCAATGAACACTGATCCGGCTAATATTCCTCTGTACAAGTTTGTTCACATCCAGTCACGAAAGCTAATGGCAGCGTGTTCTGTTGAAAGATCGACATGGCACCCACTGTGACGAGGACAGTATGTTAAATTTTGCGAAGTAGCTGGACATATGAATTTCGATTAACATATCTACTATTTTGCTGAAAAATGGCTGTATAGAAATTGGCCTGTAATTTTCTAATGAGCCCTGCCGCGTTGACCTAGTGGCTAAGGTACTGCTGCTGACCCGCAGGTCATGGTATCGAATACCGGCTGTGGTGGCTGCATTTTCGATGGAGGCGAAAAGGCTATAGGCCCGTGTGCTCAGATTGGAGACCACGTTAAATAATTGATTGATTGATTGATTGATTGATATGTGGGGTTTAACGTCCCAAAACCACCATATGATTATGGGAGATGCCGTAGTGGAGGGCTCCGGAAATTTCGACCACCTGGGGTTCTTTAACGTGCACCCAAATCTGAGCACACGGGCCTACAAAATTTCCGCCTCCATCGGACATGCAGCCGCTGCAGCCTAGATTTCATCCCACGACCTACGGGTGAGCAGCCGAGTATATCTTATAGCCACTATATATAGAACACTGCGGCGGGGTCACGTTAAAGAATCTCGGGTGGTCCGAATTTCCGGAGCCCTACTACGGCGTCTCTCATAATCATATGGGGGTTTCGGGACGTTAAACTCCACATATCAAGCAATCAATACTTGCTGAGAAAAAAGCAGATCGAGCGTTCAAGCAGCGCTGCGTGCGTGTGCCTTTTTGCCGAACGAGTTTTATATTGCGCTGTAAAAGTCAATTCAAGGTGAATCAAGACCAACTTGGGCTTCCCAATCTGCTCGAGTCCGCTGCCTTATTCGTCGCCTTGTTGCAAGCTGCCGTGACCGGTGCAAGCTACCATACGATAAGCAAGGCTTTATTGGAGAATAACGCGGAATAATTTTTTAGGCGTTCCAATTCTGACCAAACTAAAGCATTCAACACGCACTTATACACTCACGGCAGCTTGTAGAGCAGTGGTGATGCTATCACTTTTCCATGAAAGATCATTTTGTGAAACGGAAAGAGACTGGATCTGTCCATAAAACGTTTATTGGTTGCTGCCTGCACTTGCGTCATTGATAATTTAAATTTCAGGTGAGGCAAAGCAGAAGTTTTATTCTGCATATTTATGACAATGTGATCTAACGTTATAGCGACCCTGCAGTTCTGAAGGCGCTCTGTAGGGTCGCCTAAGCGGTCTGCACGCCTTAGAGAACCTGCAGTGCGTGGTCGTGACACATGGTGTAGAATCTTCACAGCAGATGCGTAATTAAGACAAACTTCACTATATAATTACGTCATTGCCGGGTTGGAAAACCTAGCCTCAGCTGTTGGCTTGTGCAGCCGACAATAACTACTGGAAAGTGGCGGGGCTCCGCCCTCTTAAAGTTTTCTCAGGATGGGGGAGGGGGGGGGGGGACTAGCGCTCTCCTTGCACGTTCGAACATATATTTCTGGAGCTAAAATCGCACCAGAGCACACGAACACTAAAACACGGCTGGCATTATCAAAGCTGCAGCCACAACAACAGCCAAAAATTAAGCAGGCAAAGCCACAGCACAATCCTCAGCGACCGCAACGGTCACTGCAGACATCTTCCGAGTCACGGACCGTGCTGGTTTCACATGACTGAGCCGAGAACGTCCAGGACGTTGCTGCGATGCTACAATATTTCAGGACACCATACTCATGCTTTTGAATGAGCTAAATATTCTGGCAACCTGAACTGCCCCGCAGCTGCTGGAGATTCTTGATTCAGGGTTTTCAGTGCGTCAGTAATCACCATGGCTCTTCCACAACCCTCTCAAAGGTCGCGATTGTCGTGTCCAGGTCCATAGCCAGGAATTTATTTCTAGGGTGGCCCACTTATTGAATGCCTTGAAAAACACATTTTTATTGCTTGTCCTCGGTGAAACACTCCCCTCCACCTGAATTTCGTGGAAGAAAGGGGGTTCAGGCCCCTGTAGGGCTGCCCCCTCCGCTCTGCCTATGGGTGTGCGAATTCCAGAGCTCTGAAGTTGTGTAGGTCAGAGAAGCTGTGGTCATAGTGACTGATTGTGCCCCAATGCACGAGTTCTACATAGAGCTGTACAGAAGCCAAAACAACCAGGGTGATATAGCGAGAAACGATAACAGTCCAGAGGAACTCGACATCCTACCAGTAACGACAGGGGAAGTCAGGAAAGCCCTAGAAGGCATGTAAAAAGGCCAAGCCGCTAGTGAGAGTAAGGTAACAAGGAACCTCTTGAAATATGACGGAGAAATTGTGTTAGAGAAACTGGCTACCATATATGTACGAAGTGTCTTTTGACGGGAAGGATACCAGAATATTGGAAAAGTGCCAAGACCATCTTAATTCATGAGAAAGAAGACGTCAAGGACTTGAAAAATTACACACCGATCAGCTTACTGTCCGTTCTCTGCAAACTATTTACAAAAATAATAGCTAATAGGGACATTTTAGTTCAATCCGACCAAAGGACCAAGCAGGATTTTG